TCTTCTTTTTACAATGCAGACATAGATAAAGATTTTTGTGTCTGTGATTACGATAATTTGAACTGTTAGTCATTGTTCAACAAGTTCAACCTTAGGTTGAAAAACTTCATTATATTACAAAGCTAATGTGAAAAACGAACGTACAGTACACATTGCAGCGGCTAAATATAGTCCATGGACACGTTTAGTCAAATTAGAGCAAAGAAGGCCGCTACGTTATCACGTGTCGTACTGGCCTCTACACCCATCAGCCAGGGACACAGCAGTGTATGTGTGCACTACTATTTTGTGATAAAAATAGGTTAGAAGTTGTTACAACTTACACTGACGGGCTTAAGCACAGAAAACTAACCCTAACACCTACTTAATTAAATAACCTTACAAAATTTAAAAGCTAAACAAAATGATATGTATAAGTAATTTGGAATGTAAATAAAATTGTAAGCCACGAATCAAAGGCTTTCTAGTAGTCCACATCCCCATTACCTCTCACTCGAATTGTTATTACTAAACCTTTTCAGCCAAGCCCCCCGGAAGTGCAAATTGCCTGCCTTCCACATGCCATTAGAGCCTCTTAAGCTCTGCTATAATTCCATCCCTGATTTGCCGTTTTTAAGGTGCTCGAGAGCCATTCTAATCTCGCTCAAACTGGCGTCCGGGATATCATCGGGATAGTGTCGGGTAAGACTTGCTCTTGCATCGTACTGCCACGTGTGGCTCCAACGATGACGTGTGCAGCTGCCCATGAACCTTTTAATCTTACTCAGAATCTCAAGTGTCCCGGAAAGGATGCTGCCACATTCGGTATTCAGCTCCTCATAATGGCTTTTTTGGCAGACAGATCTCTGGCAAAGACTTTGGTGCCCTGGTTCCGCTCAATGGCTTCTTCAATACGAGCTGTAGCGCTAAGTTGCGTAAGTGCCGCCGCACGTATTTGGAGATATGTCTGTTGAGTTGCCTGTATGCTGTCAAATCTGCTGAAGACTGCAGCTTCATCTTCCGTCTAACAACCATGAGAGAGTGTGATCGGAGTTAGCGCCGATCGCACGGACATTTTCCACAAGCTTGTCATTTATATCTTTCACTTCATTACAGTTTTCTAGGCACCAAAATGATTTTATAATTCGAGCTGACAGTTTTCGGAGCATTGGATTAGAGCACGAGGGTGACGGAGAGTGACTTTATTAGACATGACCTCTAAAACTTCAAGTTTAGGTTTAGTGTGCCTCTCACCATTCGATGATCGCTGCCAGTTTTCACCCTTGCGATCACTGAGACATCACTAAACAATATATTGTATTATAAATAAAATATATATATATATATAAATAATATATAAAAGTTATTTCAAAATGAATAATTCATATTTCATAATTATTTATTTGTATAGAATGTAGGTAGATATTACAAGAGTATTACTAAAACATAAAAGTTCCTAATATTTATTATTATTATTGGGGTATCTATATAATTTTCTCACCTGGTTGGGTTCTATAAATATATAATTATAAATTAAAATGAAAAGATAAACGTACATAAATATCAATAAAAGAAAATAAATACAAAAACTACATAAATAAATAAGATCCAACCAGATGGGAGCCTTCGACAGGGGAGACCAGACGGCCGAAGGTTAGGGGGAAAGGGAAAGAAACCGGCGAACGATGCGGGCGGTATCGAGGAGCACCGCCTTCTGCATTTGAGCCCGGAGCGGTCCGTCACGGAGTCCCAGTCGCCTCAGATGACCCGAGAGGCTGACTGGGATTAGCCCATTCGCAGAGACGACTACAGGAATAATTTCGGTCGGCATACCACCCCACATGTCGGTCACCTCGTGAGCCAGGTCCAGATATTTTGTTCGTTTCTCTGTTTCGGCTTTCACGAGGTTCTCGTCATACGGAATGGTAATGTCGATCAGTAATATCCTTGACTGTGCCCTGTCCATCAGCACAATATCAAGCTTATTCGCAAGAATAGTCCTGTCTGTGATGGTGGCCCGGTCCCAGTAGAGCCTGGCGCGGTCATTTTCGACCAAGGCTTCTCTTTTCTACGGTTAATAGCAAAATTTGCAATATAGCAAAAAATTTTCTAACTTACAAATTTTCCCGCCATTTAGGTCCCGAGGAAACGGGAGTATAACATGTCGCGCGCTGTCAGAGCGTACATAATAAAATAAAATAAGTACAAAAATACATAAATAAATAAAAGCCCAACCAGACGGAAGCCCTCGGCAGGGGAGACCAAACAGCCGAAGGTTAGGAAGACAGGGAAAGAAACCGGGGTACGATGCGGGCAGTACCGAGGAGCACCGCCTTTTGCATTTGAGCCCGGAGCGGTCCGTCACGGAGTCCCAGTCGCCTCAGATGACCCGAGAGGCTGACTGGGATTAGCCCATTCGCAGAGACGACTACAGGAATAATTTCAGCCGGTAGAAAATATCCTTGACTGTGCCCGGTCCATCAGCACAATATCAGGCTTATTCGCAAGAATAGTCCTGTCTGTGATGATGGCCCGGTCCCAGTAGAGCCTAGCGCGGTCATTTTCGAGCACGGCTTCCGGTAAGTACTCGTAATACGGCAATTTCCGATCCATGAGACCGTATTTCAGAGCGAGCTCCTGGTGTAGAATTCTGGCTACTAGGTTGTGCCTGTGCAAGTACTCAGAGTTAGAAAGCGCCGAACAACCGGAGATGACATGCCTAAGTGACTCACCGGGATGGCGACAAGCTCGACAGACGTCGACGGTGCCATCCTTTAGGATGTATCTCCGATAGTTGTTGGTCTTAATAACCTGATCCTGTATTGCACGGACAAAACCCTCGGTTTCCCCGAAGAGGTCACCGAAACGTAGCCAGTTGAGGGAGGCGACTGTATCTACGAAGGGCTCATGTAGAGCCCTGTAGTACCTCCCGTGGAGCTCCTTCTCATTCCATACGGTCTCCCGGTCGGAAATGCATTAAGCACTGCTGGGTCTTGCCATTGCTCGTTGGCTAAGGATAGAGGGGTAAGCCCTTTATCACTAGAAATGACGTCATTATAGAATGGATCATCCGATCTCGCCAGGAAGTAATTACGGAGGCTGCACACTTCGCGATTATGAATAGTGAGCGTGCTCAGAAAGCCACGCCCACCATGCTTTCGCGGCAAGTACAGCCTCATTAACCGACGATCTCGGATGATGCATCCTATGGGACGTCATGGTAGTGCGGACTTTTCTATCCAGGGCGTTAAGTTCGGTCTGAGTCCACCTGAGTATGCCAAAGGTATACATAAGGACAGGCATGACCCAACCGTTATATGCGTGTGTCTTATTCACACCGGACAAAAGGCTGTTAAGCACTTTGGTCAAGCGTGCATAAAACGCGTCGCAAACTGACTGTTTCATACCAGCCTCATCGATACCGATGTTCTGTGACATACCCAGGTATCGGTATGTTTCAGCCTCGGAAAGGGTCCTTAAGTTGACGGGCATAGATAAGTCTATGCCCTCAGAGTTAGCAACCCTTCCCCTCTCAACATGGAGGACCGCACACTTACCCGTCCCCAGCTCCATTCCAATGGAATTGCTAAATTCACAAGTGATTTTTAGCAAATTCCATAAAATGGGAGCGACTGGAGGCGAATAACTTGAGGTCATCCATAAGAAAAGGTGGGTCACTTTTGTCCCTCCTTTCCGAAGCTGAAATCCTCCCCGGAACCCTCCAGTAAAGTACTTAGAGGGTTCAGAGAGGCAGAACCAGATTGGACTCAGACAATGGCCCTGGAATATACCCCTTCTTATCCTTATGCGGTTCTCCGCAGCCGTCATCCGCTCGCCCATACGACAAAGGATCGTACTCCACTGCCCCATACACTGTTCGAGGAAGTCTCGAACTGTACAGTCAATCTTGTACAGCTCGAGGACTCTCTTTAGCCATGTATGGGGCACCGAGTCGAATGCCTTTCTGTAGTCTATCCAGGCGGAGGCGAAGTTCCGACGGTTGCGTTTCACCACTTTGCCAATGACCGCGTCAATGAGGAGTGGTTCCTTTGTTCCACGACCACCGCCCCGACATACATTTTGAGCGCGCGACATCACCTGATTTAGCTCCAGGTGACGAGTGATTCTCGCGCTCAAAATGGATGTCAGTGTCTTATATATGGTGGGTAGACACGTAATGGGGCGGTATTTGCTCGGATCTGTGGTAACCTGGTCTTTAGGAGCCAAATGAGTGATCCCAGTAGTGAAGAGGCTAGGGAGCGACTTCTGGTTGAGAGCCTCTTGAAACTGACGGGCGAGCACAGCGTGACACACCATGAACCCCTTCAGCCAGTAGTGATGCAGTCCGTCGAGTCCCGGACTTTTCCAGTTCGGGGCTCTACGGACCGCTTCAGCTACGTCATCCGGCGTTATGATGACGGGGTCCATGGGCGTAATACTCGCACACTGACTCGCCACAACTTCCGTCCAAGGCCCTCGCTGTGGTTTACGGGCTCTGACCACAGGCCACGCCAAAATGCGACAGTGTTAGCCTGATCTGGTCCTGGGCCCGCTCCACATACCTCTGGTCGCTCCAAGGATTTGTAAGCCTCTTCTGATCATCTAAGAGACGATTCTGGTTGAACCGCCTTAACCTCTCGGAAAATCGGCGACTCCGCTTCCCCCAAGCAGCAATCTTTTGCTTCAGGTCATCTATGCGCTCCGTTAGTTTCTGCGTGATATCCGGCTGGGACAAACTGATATTTGTCCCAGCAAACGCCATTCTAACGGTGCGCACAACCCTCGGTCTATTATTACCCGACCTGAAACTTATCAGTCTGCCGATAAGGGCCCTTGCCTTTGCGATACGGTCCTCAATTCTTTTTCTCCAGGCTGGGATGGCGCTACTTTGTTTAGTAGCGCGTCCAGCCAGGGGAAGTTTGGCGCCAATAATACGGCAAGCTGCCACTGCGGCGCCAAAAAGAACTGAGTCCGTCTCGCAAAGGTCCCGGCTGGCTTCCAAATAGGTTACCAGCATAGGGTTAAGAGCCCTCACGACAGCCCGATTTCGCTTGCTTAGGGGTATGCGGGGAAGTCGCGGTCGATTTTCGAGAGGCATGGTGCGCGTTTCCGAAATCGCCTCTTCCAGTATACTCTAGTTTTTTTCTTTGCTCTAGTTCGTGGGAGACCATTTCATCATCGTCTGAATCAACCACAACTGGAAGATCCATGGCGGCTTCTACTCGTGGCAGCTGGTCTGTCGCCTGAGGAGCCGCATCCCCAGCCGTAGCCAATTCATTCGATGAGGGAATGGCCTCACGTCGTAGTCGTTCGAGCTCGGCATCATCAAATATTTTCGAGCGCATGATGTACCGAACACGGTCTGCCAGGTTTTGTTCCGTGACGGGAATAGACGGCTCCAGCTCAGCAAAAAAGCAATGCATCCGAGCCCGATACGCACCCATAGTTTTCCCTCAGTACCGATGCGTTTGCGTTCATATCTCTTGTCCAACGCATGCGGCGCACTCCACCAGCGGCGGATGCCGCTTGCCGAGTCCGAGAGGACCCTGCCGACATCAAGCCGTCTGGTGGGAATGATGGATGCGGGGTCTGCTAGGTGATCTTGCAGCTCCTCGCGCTCGGCTGGCGGCCCGCATGCTGCCGCGTCCAGCGCCAGCTCCAGACGCGGCCCGGCGACCCCCAGGCAGCGGCCCTATACGCTTTCTAATCATATCCATCATCCATTTTTGGGCGCCAATTAACGGGAGACGCCCAAGCCCGGCATCGTTTCATTGTAACATTGTACGGCCGTAAGCACAAACGGGCCTTTGCACCCTGAGTACTGCCGAGGCACGGCGCTCACACCTCTTGGCAAGGCGCTGACTGACTGCACCGACGTAGCAGTTTTGTCACTTAACTGTTTCGTCAGCGGGCGATGGGGTCGTCACTTCCCTACGCCTTATTATTTATTATTATTATTATTTTATTGGTTACTCCTCTTTATGGGGTGATATCCCTAAATCGGCCTTAACGGCAAAATGTTAAGGAAATTATTTGGTTACAAGGATAAATGTCTCCTCACAATGGCAGTTGTCCTCAAGATGACAGCCTTTTGAATTTTATCGAGCACAGCTCTTGCTAAGCCCAATTTGTCAAGGCTGCTACTTAGCTGTTTTGGTACCCGTAGTTGAGAGTATAAGCGGAATTATAATTACTTCATTCTGCCGCCACATCTGCTTTACTCTTCAGCAAGTGGTTGGTACTTTGAAATTTTTTCTGTGTGGTATTGTTGAATGTTGTGTGAGTTGGGAACACCAATGTCAATTAAATAAGTCCGCTTCACTTCTTTGTCAATCAGCACAATATCCGGCCGAAGACAATAATGCTTAAAGGCTTGAACCTTCGGAAAGTCCCTCCTTACCTCGATCAATGCTTATTCTTCGGCACTTGTCTAGACCAAAGCACATCGAGATATCTTCAGAAAACTGTTCAACGCATTGGAGCAGTCCTTTAAGTTCACTAAAATTTGCCGCGTACAACTTAATGTCATCCATATATATTAAATGGTTCAGTTTAAGTTGCTTCCGACTACTTCCCTTAATAACAAAACCGTATCCTGTGCGGTTTAACACTGTAGATAGCGGGTTTAAAGCAAGGCAGAACCATAGGGGACTTAAACTATCGCCCTGGAATACGCCTCGTCGAATGGAGATTTGATCGCTCTTAGCGTTGTATCCTTCCAAATTCAAGACCAGCTCAGTTCTCCAGCAAGACATAAGTTGTTGAAGCAGTGATGTTATCTCGGGATGGATCTTATACAATTCGAGAACTTTGACTAGCCAAGCATGTGGCACAGAATCAAACGCTTTGCGATAGTCTATATATGCCATATGGACATTCCGCATTCTATGATATGCCTGTTCTGTGACCACAGCGTCAATCAAGAGTTGTTCCTTACAGTATTGCGATTCTCTAATGCATCCCTTTTGTTCCACTGCTAGCATTTTATTTTGGTCCAAGTGCTCGTATATCTTATCAGCCAAGCATGATGTAAGTAGCTTATAAACGGTACAGATACAAGTAATAGGGCGGTAGTTTTCAGGGTTTTCGATATTCTCGTTCTTCGGTATCAGATACGTAACTCCATTCGAGAGATATGCGGGAATAATTTTCGGATTTCGGAGGAAGCCCGTAAAACATTTCGCCAAGGGTTCATGGAATGATGAAAATTTCTTAAGCCAGTAATTATGAATGTTATCAGGACCTGTAGTCTTCCAATTGTGCATTTTGTTCACGGATTTTGTGACATTTTCTACCGTAATGGAGACCACTGTCATAGGCACTAAGTTGGTGAGATGTTCATCCTCTAGATTGATCCATGTCGCGTCCTCATTATAACTTACGTCTTCGGACCAAATCCCCTTCGAAAAATTTTTTATGTTGTCAATATGTGGGAAGTTAGTATAAGTTGTATTAGTATTGGTATTTAGTCTGAGTTGTCTATAAAATATATTTTCCCTATTCTGGAAGTTAGCATTGTCAATTTTTCTTTTTCTTGATGCTTGATATCTTCTTAAGCGGTTAGCTTTTAGTGACAACTTCTGTTTAAGTGTATCAAGTATCTCCTCTGGAGTCCTGTTAGGTGGATCGTGTTTTGTGTGCCTAAGTAATTCTAATTTCAATTTTTCATACACAGCAATAACCTTTTTACTTTTAATGCCCCTTATAAATTGCGTGATTTGTCCTATTTGACGGCGTAGTTTATCAATTTGTTGAATCAATCGATGCTCCCAGGCTGGAATTTTCTTCAGGGATCTTGGTTTTGTACCACAAGTTTCAACTTTTCCTCCAGTAAATCGTACAACTGCAATAGCCGCTATATAAATCAACGTATGAATGTCCTCGAAACTTTTGTCAGAGCTAGCAAGATGTTTTGGCAGTATGGTGGTGTTTAAGATGTGTACGGCCTTAGCCAATTTTCAGGATGAGTTTTGGCTACGTTTTAATGGATTAGTCCCCGTAAATTCAATAATAGCTCTTTCGAATTCTTGCTGCAGAAGTATAGTCATCTGGTTATCTGAACCTTTTTCAACTTTTAGCAGTTTCTACTGGCGTAATGCAGGAGTCAGATATTGAACTTATGCCCATGTCAGCGGAAAGTTTGTGCATAGGTGTATCATTTTTCGGACTTTCGGGGCGTAAATCTTCTTGATTAAATGTCCTATCACTGTCTGTCTTAATTTCAGTAGCAACCTCGGCTTTGAGTTGCTCTAATCTTACATGTGTTATATTTTTTGTGGTCAATATAACACGTTTTTGGTCAGCTACTCTTTGTTCAGTCACTTTGTCAGCTAAATCAGGGTACTTCTGTACAAAGAGTCTCCACATATAGGACCTGTAGCCAACTGTTTGTGATTCGAGCTTGGTGGATAGGTAGTAGCAACGCATGACGTGCTCATTCATTTCAATGGTCCAAGTCATACGTAGTGTGGGGAGACCAGCCTTTGTGGTCACGGGTTGAGTACTCCGTGAAACACTTGGAGCCGGTTGGAGTGAGGATGTGGAAGAGGAAAGGGGATTAAAGGAGGGGTTTTCTACAGCAGCTTGAGTCTGGGTAGAGTTTGGTTTTCTTTTGGTTCTTTTCATTTAGTTCCCACGAGCAGCAAGGGACTACAACGTCAACCACGGCAGAGCCCTGTGTTCACCGTAGTAAGGGTATATAAAACTGGAGGGCCCCTGTTCTCCAGAGTTCGCATGCTAATGACTATGCTTCCCCATAGCCACGCAGCCCTCGGCACATGCTGTTCCACCTTGGCTTGAGTTGGAAAGTTGGTGTCCAAATATACCAGTGCCCATAGCCCCGTTGGCCGTGTCAGTATTATATATAGATACGTTGCCCGTCTCTTACGTGGCCTGATACTCGGCTCGGACGTGGAGTTGGAATTTAAGAGACTTATTATTATTATTTACGGTAAGTGTTTTCACTTCTCAGCTCTAGGCTGGATTTCAACTGCATTTACGGGCCGAAGCCAAAGCAAATGCAGCGTGTGGTGTGTAGTGTAGTTCGTGTGATTTAATGAGGTCCTATTTCATTTTCTTCTATCTGCATGAATTTCCTAACTATTCGCCATGTATTTAATATATCTGCTTTTTGAAGTGTAATATATAGAGTTTCTTTTAGTTGTAATAATTTTAAGCTACGGAGGAGATGATTTGGGATGACACCTGTTGTGGAGAGGACAAGGGCCACTTCTTGCCAGATTCTAGTCACTTCATCTTTAGTTCTGCGTACTTACTAATTTTTTCAGTTATCGTCTTCTGCAAGTTGTGTGTGTTGGGGACTGCAATGTCTATCAGGTAATTAATATTATTTATTTTATCTTGTAGAATTATATCTGGTCGGTTATAGTGGATTGTCCTATCGGTGAGAACGCCGCGGTCGTAAAAAAGTTTATGTGTGGTGTTTTCTAGAGTAGGTTTTGGTGTATAATTGTAGTACGGAGTGTTGGCATCTTGAATGAGTGCGTGTTTGAGTGCTAGTTTTTGATGAATGACATTGGCCACCTGGTTGTGTCTGTGAGTGCAGTCAGTCTGTGTGAGAGTTGTGCATGCGCCTGTGATGTGTTGAATGGTTTCTGGATGTGTGTGGCATTTGCGACATTTGTCATTATTTACTGTAGGATCTTTGATTATATATTTTCTGTAATTTTTGTGTTTATGATCTGGTCTTGAATAGCTATTATAAATCCTTCTGTTTCTGGGAATAAGTTGCCTATTTTCAGCCACTTATTTGAAGCTAACTTATTTATGTGGGATTGCTCTAATTCATGAGGGTGCCGACCGTGGAGAACTTTCTTCTTCCATTCGTCAATTTTGTGTGTCTGTGGGTTATCACTGGTAGTGTTTTGGGATTCAATATGATTGCTTAAGTTAAGTGGAGTGTAGTTAATATCATTCGTTACGATGGCTTTATGAATATTGCTAGTATGGGATTTTGTACAGAAGAATGATTTTAATCGACTAACTTGTTTCCGCCATAGGTGCTAGATATCTATTAGGCCTCTACCTCCATGTTCTCGTTTTATTGTTAGTCTCTCTATGGCGGATTTAGGGTGTAGGTTGTTGTGTTTCGTGAGTGTTGTACGTGTAGTTCGCTCTAATTATTCTGCGTCGGTTTTGGACCATTTTATAACTCCGAATGAGTACGTTAATATGGGGATGGCATAGGTGTTAATGGCTTTGATGAGATGTTTACTTGTAAGTTGAGTTTTACAAACGGCGCTAAGTCTTCTCTTGTATTCCGTAGTGAGAGAATTTTTATTTTTATTCGTACGTGGTCAAGACTTTTAAGTTGGACATACCCTAAATATTTGTATAAGTCAGTCGATTCCTTTGCTGTAATAGCCTCCGTTTCATTTACTACATAGTCGCCGGGCCTTACTTTGCCTCTTACAATGTGAAGTGTTTTACATTTATCTAAAACAAAATGCATATTAATATCGCTACTGAATTCTGTTGTTATATCTATTAATTTCTTCATATGCTTGTCTGTTTTTGCATATAATTTAATGTCGTCCATGTATATAAGATGTCATATTGTTGATTCGTCTGTATTAAGTTTTCAAGCAATATCCGGCCCCGCAGCTCTGCAGCAAATGAGACAGAGGGTTTAGGGTGAGACAGAACCACAGTGGGCTTAGGGAGTCACCTTGGTAGATGCCTTTTGTGATTGAGATTTGTCGCGTGGTGACAGTATTTTGGTTACAATTTATGTGTAGTGTTGTTTTCCATTGTAACATTATTCGGCGTAAGAAATCGATTATTTTCGGGTTTATTCTATAAATTTCTAATATTTTTAATAACCATGAATGAAGAACACTGTCAAACGCTTTTTATAATCAATATAGGTGCAATGTAAATTTCTATTTTTAGAGGTGGCGTGTTTATGAATAGTGGACATTATCAGCTGTTCGCACTGTGGCACCGGTAATGTCTTTGTGATTGCAGATGCAATGTAAAAAGCAAACAAATTTGTAGAAAGTAACAAAAAGGGGTGGTGTTGTGCCTTTTTTTTTTTTAGAGATGTTAATTTTTTGTACCAAAAATTATGAATTTGTCTATACCAGGTGATTTCCAATTATGTAACCTAGCTGTAATGAGTGTTATGTCTAATTCTGTTACCTCTTCGAATTCCATTTCGTCAATATCTCTCCATTTTGCTTCCTCTTCAATTATCCAAGATTCTTTGTCGTTATGTTGTTTTTGCTCTTCCCAAATACTCGCCCAATATGCTACTAGTTGTTCTTTTTGGTAGGTTAGGTGTATGTGTGTTACGGTCATCGATTGTGTCTGTTTCTGGTTTGTGTAAGTTTCTATAAAACAATTTTTCGTTTGTGTCAAATGTGACGTTATCTTTTTTGCGCTCTTGTGCTTTTTTATACCTTTTGAGCCTATGAACTTTAAGTGCTAATTTTTGTTTTAACGTGTCTAAAAATTCTTCAGGTCTTGTCTTACTCTTTTCGTGTCTGGTATGCGTAGCATTATTCCTAAATATGACCTCTACTTTTTTGACTAGTTTATTAGATCTACAACCGTTAATATACTGAGTGAGTCTACCTATGTTTGCTCTTAATTTTTCAATGTCTTTTTTTCCTCTCTTTTTTGTCTTTTTCAATGTCGTTGCCATGCTGGTTTTGTATTTTGTCTTGTTCTTGTAGTTCTTTTTTTTCGGCTCGAGTTACAAAACCGCTTTCAGTGCCTAGAGGATTGCAATGCAGTGGACGATATGAATGACAAACTCGTGGAAACTGTCCATGCGGTCGGAGCTAAGTTCTGCAAGACCCGCCGCAGAAGAACACAAAAACTCTCCGGTTACACTCTTAATCTCATGGCTATTAGACGGGAGATGAGGCTGCAATCGTCAACAGATTTGACAGCATACAGGCAACTGAATAGACAGATCTCCAAATGCATGCGGCGGGACTTACGCAACTTTAATACTGCTCGTATTAAAGAAGCGATCGAGCGGAACCAGGGCTCCAAAGTCTTTGCCAGAGATCTGTCTGCCAGAAAGAGCCAACTGTCAAGGCTGAAGACTGAGTGTGGCAACATCGTTTCCGGGACACCTAATTCTGAGTACACATCATCGTTGAAGCCACACGCAAGTGTGAGTAACGATCCAAGAGCAAGTCTTATCCGACACTATTCCGATGATATCCCGGACGTCAGTCTGAGCGAGATTAGAATGGCTCTCCACCACCGTAAAAACGGCAAGGCCCCGGGCGAGGATGGAATTACAGCGGAGCTTCTGAAAGCGGGTGGAACACCGGTACTTGAAGTCCTTCAGAAGCTCTTCAATTCCGTGCTCCATGGTGGCACTAATCCGGAGGCGTGGAGCAGAAACGCGGTGGTCTTGTTCTTTAAGAAAGGCGACAACGCTCTCTTGAAGAACTACAGACCGATTTCCCTTCTGAGCCGCGTCTACGTGCTGTTTTCGAGAGTCATTACGAATCGTCTCGCACGACGACTCAGCCTCCCGGACAAGCCGGTTTCCGAAAAGGCTTCAGTACCATAGACCGCATACATACCCTTCGGCAAATTGTACAGAAGTCCGAAGAGTACAATCTGCCACTTTGCCTGGCGTATGTGGACTATGAGAAAGCCTTTGATTCCGTCGAAATTTGGGCAGTGCTACAGTCTCTTCAGCGGTGCCTAGTTGACTGTCGGTATATTGAAGTGCTGAAGTGTTTGTACAGTAGGGCTACGATGGCTATCCGAGTACAGAACCAGAGTACGAAACCTATCCAACTGCAGAGAGGTGTAAGACAGGGTGACGTTATATCCCCGAAACTCTTCACCGCTGCGTTGGAAGACGTTTTCAAGCTACTGGACTGGAAAGGATACGGTATTAACATCAATGGCGAGTACATCACTCACCTTCGATTTGCCGACGATATAGTTCTTATGGCAGAATCGCTGGAGGACCTTAGCACTATGCTCAATGACCTCAATGGTGTCTCCCAACGGATAGGTCTTAAGATGAACATGGACAAAACAAAGATTATGTTTAATGTCCATGTCACACCTATGCCGGTAGTTGTTGGGAGCACTATGCTCGAAGTTGTTGACGAGTACGTTTACCTGGGACAAATAGTCCGACTAGGTAAGTCCAACTTCGACCGAGAGGTCAATCGACGGATTCAACTCGGCTGGGTAGCGTTCGGGAAATTACGACACATCTTCTCGTCAGGTATACCTCAATCTCTGAAAACTAAAGTTTTGTATAACCAGTGCGTGTTGCCAGTGATGACTTACGGATCTGAGACGTGGTCCTTCACCGCTGGCCGTATGAGGACGCTCAAGGTCGCTCAACGAGCTATGGAGAGGGCTATGCTCAGAGTTTCACTGCGTGATAGACTCAGAAATGAGGATATCCGCAGTAAAACCAGAGTGACCGACATAGC